GATCATCCTGTAATCCCCCATAATCCGCTGCTGCTCTAGGAAAAGAGCCAAGCCTGACTGTGTGCTGTTGATGTGTTCTTCTCTCCAGCTGCTTCAAACATAATCAAGCCAGACAAAGAAAACCGAAAAGTAGTGCTATCATCGATGTCCATGTAAGAACTTCCTTTCTGTTTTGATGTTTCTTTGCTGCTGAGAGTCGACGACCTGTGATCTGCTTTATCTAATTAATAATATTGTTCAAATGATCATATTTGCACGTTGAGGGCACTGGAATCCGCATATGATGTAACAATGACACATATATTTGCTTGTCATTATAAATAGACTCCGCTCACTGGCATTCAATCACTTTCCTGCACCAGATTAGACTGTCAAGCGTTGTCAAAGGCAAATAGATCCATTTATAATCATTGCTATTAATAACAAACACTGAATTTGGTACTGTATATAGATGCAAATTCAGTTTCTGCCATTCACCAGATGCTTAAGTTTGCTGACAAATCGAACTTTTGCTTTGACGTGCCCACTTCAAACATCTTGTTTGCATCCCTGTACAGACTTCAGAAGGATCCCACTGTCAGGAACAAGTAGATCGTTCATTTTTAATGTCGTCCTAGATCATGTCAGAGGATTACACAATTTTCTTTTTGAGGGCATTTGTCTGCAGATTTGTTACTGCAAGCTTCAGTTAAAGCAATCACCTGTACTCAATCTGACAGCAAACCATATTGTGTGTTGCAAACCATAAGTAATGATTTTATAGACAGTTGTTTGTGAATAGTTTTTTTATGGATCATTTAGTCAATTTACCCATGTAATGGTTATATAAAATAGTTAATAATTCCTTTGCGTTGATGCTAGTCAATCAAATTACAGGTTGTTTTCTGACCAACTTTATTGAAAGATTCTTAACAGCAGACTTTTCCATAAAGAAGGTCCGAATTAGGGTTAAAAATAAAAGTTATTTTTGACACAGTGTATCCAGAAAGTATTCAAAGAGTTTCACTTTTTTATGTTACAGCCTTATTCCAAAAGGGGATAAATTCATTTGTTTCCTCAAAATTCTACACACAATACCCCATAATGACAATGTTTACTGAGGCGTTCACAACAACTCGGTGAATGTCCTTGATTGGCCCAGCCAAAGCCCAGACCTAAATCCTATTGAACATCTCTGGAGAGATCTAAAAATGGCAGTACGGGCAAAAATTCTTAATGAAAGGTGTGCCAAGCTTTTGGCATCATTTTCAAAAAGACTTGAGCCTGTAATTGCTGCCAAAGGTGCATCAACAAAGTATTGAGCAAAGGCTGTGAATACTTCAGGTTTTTTATTTTTAATACATTTGTAACAATTAATAAAAAAAAATAATAAAGTCATTATGGGGTATTGTGTGTAGAATTTTGAGGAAATAAATAAATATAAAAAATGTGTAAAGTGAAGTGCTATGAATACTTTCTGGATGCACTGTATGTGTATTAGTTTATTTGCCTTGCTGTATAGTTGTTTAGTGCTGGTGCAGCAGCAATGTTATTAACAATACAGAAATGTGAAATATTACTAATATTTTACTACTGTTTCATTAGTGTTAATGCAATGAGCAGTAATACTGGATTATAAAATAGGAGTTCCTTCATTTTTAACAATTTAAGTGGCTATTCCAAGAAAAAAAGGTTATTAGAAAAAAATACAATGCACCAGTAACTGAAAGTATCAGTTACAAAAGTAATGTGCCCTATTTGAAAGCTTCCTTTTTTGTTAGGAAGGCAAGTGGAAGAGTCCAATATTTTCTTTTTCTGATGCCCTTCAGGCGTTAATCCATAAGGGAGAACTTCCTCACTCAAATGTAGTATAATTCCTTTAAGATTCACGATTAGCACATGTTCACCTGTCATCTCATGGTGTCAGGTCCTTCCAAACGTGTGAGAGGAGACTTGCACCCACTTCTGGACAAACTGTGAATTTGCAGCGCATTTTGGAGCCAAAACTTTCCACATTCCCGATGTGTTTGTGTCTGGGGAATGGGAATGCATCATGAGCTACACGCACAGACTGTTGGCAGACGTCAGAGGTGCTTTGCTGCAAAGGACTAGAGTTGAACCATGGAGGGAAAGGACAGCTTTGAGTCAACACAAACACTCCTGGCCATGCAGTGCCCTTTGAAATAAACTGGATGATGTGCTCCAGCTCTGCGTCACTCGTTCCGGAGTCCCACTCTTTTCCAATAACCCAAGACAATCTGGGATGAAACTGCCGCTGAGACAGGCTAGGATTTCTAGGTCAGACTAACAATTGGAAAAACTGACTGCATTGTCAGTTTCATCTTCTTCTGTGTCTTCCTCTAGGGTCTTCAAAAAGCCACATTTTGTTTCCATAAAAAATTGCCAAAGCGCAGTATTTCACTTTTATATTGAGGTAATGAAGTATTGTGACAAGGTTATTCGCGTACTTTGTCAATAAATACAATGCTGATTATATCAATCTTAATTGTTTGAGGTTGGTTGGTTAATGTCGATTTAAAAGTGATTTAAGTGGTTACATACTACATAATACCTGTTAAAACGATGCAACCGTCAGGGTACAAATGACATTCTGTAAGGTTTTATAATGCATACTAGGTCAAAGTCAAATGATCTGTATAAAATCGTCTATTTGCTCTTCACCGAACCTGTCACACTGATGCAATAATTTCACGGAAAGTTCAGATTAGCATAAACGTATTTATTTTGGGCTCTGTACTGACAAAACAAACACATGGCCATTGACAGCCATGAGCGATCCAGCCAGCTCCTTTGTGACCACTAAAAGCTCAAATGTTGTTGACTGGAAACTTAAAATGTCAACTCTAACTTGAAGTTCAATCTTGCTTCGCTGTTAAAGTAAGTGAATAAAAAGTGTCTCGGTGCGGGTTCTGTCCACTTGTCAAAATAATCACTTCATACGTCATTATCGGTGGCCTGAGACTCTCATGCTTCCTTGAGACATTTGCACTTCGTAAATATCTCATCAGGTAATTTACAAAGATAGAATATATATATGGAAAACTTAAAAACAGAATAGCTGCACTTTATGTAACTGGCCTCAGTTGGACCACTGAAATCAGATGTCATAGACAGGGGCAATTGATTTTACAGGACGACAGGAACAATCTAAGATTAGAAATTAAATATTGCTATAAAATATATCCAGTATAATATTTCATGTTTCCTCATGATACAGTTCACCTAAAAAATGAACATTTTGACATTTATTCTGCAAGTGAACACCGCAGATAGTATAGAAACAGAAAACTTGTCAATGCTCAAACCACATAGATCCCTTATTAGCAGCTGTTTCAATAGGCTGCCAAGTGTAAACCATAATTTAAAATGGTTAAAGTCTTTCTGTGATCACTCACAAGCAATTTAAGTGTGAGTTGGTCTGGTAGCGTAGTTATATGAATGTATAAATACATTTGCATTAGATTTCAGTAAAATATTCTGCTAAACTAATACATACAATACCACGAAGGTGTAATATCAGCATTGTGTCTATTAGAAATATTGTCAACATGTATTGTAACTTGATTTGGCTGAAGAAACATTTTGGGATTTTCAGCAAAAAATATGGAGCGGTCTGCACATTTATCTAAATATCTACTTTTGTTTTGCACAGAAGAAAATGTGTTTAAGTAACATTTAAGGGTTGTATATTTAATGTTTGGGGTAAAAAATATAAATTTGAATATTTCCTATGGAATTGAAATTATGCTTTGTTTTATTGTGTTTGTCAAAGTGTTGTACAGTAAGTTCTCATTATTAGTAAGCACAACCCTGCCAAACACATATTACAGATAACAATTTAGTAATGCACAATCAAGATAGGTAAAGTATATGAATAAGTATAAAAAGCAAACAAGCTCAAGAGCTCCTGAAACTTTCTGCCTAAAGCTGATTGGGATAACCCAAGACTCAGCAGTTCTCATGGCTTGTGGAAAAAGAGAGATGTAAGTCTAGGATCCAGAATGGTTTTCTTTGGGTAGTCCCCCGTACTCAGTTGGAAATAAGATGTGCACTACATTTATTCGCCCTGCCTACTTGTGTCCGCCAAATTCCAGCAACCTCATTTTGGGAGCAAAGCATCTGGCTGATCTTCTTTAACTGTAATACACCAGCATCAGTCAGCTGCCACATTTCTCTCAGCTGCCTCTTTGGCATTGCAACACCTCACCTTGCAATAATGTAAACTTTTTTTTTGGTTAAATTATGACATATCTAAGATTGAATCTGATATCTATTCTTTTTCATTTTGAAAATTGTTTTGATAATAAAAAGTGGGAACTGTATTAAGAACTGACAAATTACGTCTACTAGAACCTCAAGTTTTTATGCATTCTGGGCAATGATTCACACTATTTTTTTGAGGGCCTGAAAACTAGATCTGGGCTTCCCAAAGCAAATTTTTGAAAATGCCAGGACAATATTCTCTGCGCAACTACAAGTTACAAAAATGACTTTGCGAAAACAGTCCTGTCATACCTGCAACATTTTAAAAAATTAAATAATTGATAACTGCTGGACCACACGTGAGCAGATGTTACATCGCCACCTACTGACATGGAAATGAGTGCATAATACAGTGTTCCTATTCTTTCTGCACACGCAAAGAAAAAACGTTTCCATTTTTACACAGTACCCTATAAATATACAAATTTATGGCCATGATGAATCATGTATAAGACCAGAAGCATTGATTGACAAGTAAAGTGTTAGGTTAAATTAGATTGATTTGATTGTAAACATTTTACCCAATCAAACTGAAACTAATTAAGCAAACAGAAAAAGGGCAATACTTGAAAAACTGGACAGCAAGACGTAAAAAAGGATGCTTTTCTTATTCATGAGTGGCGCATTAGTGCGTGGGGAACTAGAGAGAGAGAGAGAGAGAGAGAGAGAGAGAGAGAGAGAGAGAGAGAGAGAGAGAGAGATGATGCAGTTGATGAATAAATAAAAAGTGCACTTACTGAAATAAAAGCCCCTGTCTCCACACACAAACTGCAGCGTGTCTACAAGCTCCGCCCCGCACAGCGTCTCCGGCCCCGCCTCCAGAGTCGCGGGAGTCAACGCGAGGACGCACAGCACCAGTGAGAGGGTGTGGGTACTCGGGAGACAGCGCATGGTACACTGCATCCCAGAGAGAGGCAAACCACAAACACATTACAATCACACGCTGAAAAAAAAAACTAAGGACAGTATGCAATTTTATTGACATTCATTATTATTATTTTTTAATTAATTTTCTTCCTCACTTTTTATTCTTCATGCATGTTTCCCCCATATATGCTGTATTTCACTGTCTATCATCTGCACATTTATTACTGTCATTCATCTGCTTTTACACGTCTAACATCATGCAAAGGCAGGTGTCTGGATATTCTACTGATTAAAAAATAAAATACCAAATCTGATCAAATGCACCTGTCTATGCATAGAGTGCACTTTTGAGCGCGTGCATTTACTTTAATTGTGTTTCCCTATCAGATATTCTTTACTCCTCCATCCGCACACAATCTCGCTAAAGCAGCGCGTTATTTCGGAACACTTCTCCACAAACGCGCGCGGAAATGTCTCCAGCGCGCGCTTTGAAGCGCCTGGTTCTCGCTCGTGCCAATAGGACACTGCTGCTTGAACCAAGTGTCCGGTAAAAGAAGAGCGCTTTTGTAAAGCATGCATTTTTGGGGGTTTGGATAAAACTGTGGTTCACCTACATATACGTGAGGTGGAACTGGAAAGCTGCAAAGCCGCCAAACCCAAAGAGGAAGCACTTTACATAATAAAGAGAATATAATGCGCAACGCACAAGTACGCAGCAAAACCTTCAGTCCTAGCCCTTAATCATGTCGACTCAGCAATATTTACTTTTAAAGGACTGGATATACAAGTTGGTGACTAGTGCACTGCGCAAATGAACTCCCTGGTGCATCATGATATGACTCACCATACACATCATGCAATCTGTCGTAAGTCTGAAAAGTTTGCCATAATAGACTGCAGCTGTCAGATCTTTAACGTGAAATACTTTTGCATGCACTGACTAATGCGTAAAGACGCAGAGTAGTCATTGCTCATATTTAAATGTGAGCGCAAATTGTCTTCAAATATCATTCAGTTTTTATCTAAAATACTGCTTTAGTGAAAAATTAAAGCCATAATGGTAAGTCCAAAGTGTCTATTTGCTCTGAAAGGAAATAGGTTAAGTTACCTTAAAGACATCACACCAATGCCCCTGGAAGAAATGACCGCTAGACATCCCTTTGGGTCTCCAGCAAAAGCCCAGCAAAAATGAACTTGTTTGAAGTCATTAAAAAGCGAGAAAGAGGATGAGATGCGGGCAATGTCACATCTCAATATTCCGACTTTGTTCCATTGCGCAGGCTCGTTGTGGAGAAGTGAGATTTAGCGAACAGGAGACGGATTTGGAGAGAAAATCCCTCACATTTATCTACATTACAGAGACATTTTCAACAGGAAACAGCTGGGGCAGCATTTGCCTTCTCCGCTTGCTAAGTTACTCATTAAGGATTTTGGGCACCCTGTCAAATAACGTCATCTGTTTCTTAGAATAGGCTCGAATTTGGATCTTTCTAGGACTCACTAACAGCAGAAAAGATTGCACTGCAGAATGAAAGCGAATATGAGAGGTTGAGAAAGTGGTGAGTTTTTAGAGAGGGACAGAAGTTGAATTCAGACCGACTGCCGTGCGTAATTTGTACGGTGTCTTTTTTATCACCGCTCTATATTCTCAGCTGACTTATCTGTCAGTGCTGGTATTATAGCTGCTGTAAATTTTAAAAGGGTAACATATATTTTAAAATACATTTATATAGAAATGCCGTGCCTCAATAAAACAGCTGAGATAAAATAATTAACAAAACCTAACGTTCTTGTTTTAGAGTCTGTAAAAAGTATCCTAAAGTGGTATATGATTACGCAGCTCGAGTTAAATGCCTTACGCTAACACCTTTTAAACAAATGAAAATATATATTTTTATTCTGAAGTAATACTTATTGACACCTGTCAATCAACTGCGACATACATATGCACAGCCTACATACGCACGCACTCACCAAAATCCCTATAATGCCAAAGCAAACATCAAACATTTATTTATTTAGTTCATTATTTATTAATTCATTCATTAATTTTCTTTTCAGCCATAGTCCCTTTATTAAATTGGGGTTGCCACAGCGGAATGAACCACCAACCACCAACTTATCCAGCTTATGTGTTACGCAGTGGATGCCCTTCCAGCTTTACACACACACACACACACACACACACACACACACACACACACACACACACACACACACACACACACACATATATATATATATATATATATATATATATATATATATATATATATATATATATATATATAAATATATATGAATGAATGTATGTATGTATGTATGTATGTATGTATGTATGTATGTATGTATATATATATATATATATATATATATATATATATATAGCTGGAAGGGAATCCACTGCATAAAACATAAGCTGGATAAATGTATAATTAATTATTTGTAATATCCTTTTATTAACAGTATATTACAATTTTGGTGCCTACTCAAACACTTTTGACCACGGGTGCCCAAACTTTTTCTTATCAGGGTAATTTCCTAATTTATTAATATTGAAAAATAAATAGAAAAAATACTTCAATGATATTAATAATAATTTTTAATAAGTAATTTTTAATAAATAAGTAATTTTTTTTAACATTTTATTAAGAAATTCTTACAATAAAAACATAAACAAATACATTTAGAACACAATGGTGTTCAATGCTAAATACACTAATCAAGCTTAACCTGCCTTTGCCTTGATTTGCTCGTCGATGTCTTTTCAAGAGTTCATACTTAGCTGATGATTAATTGTAAGCAAGTTTGGCATGCTGTCCCGGGAGAGAGCCCTGAGCCCAAAAGGTCCTTGAGCCCTGGGCTCCCTCCCGTTTGCAGGGCGAGAGGGAAGCTTTGAGCTCAGGTAGATCTCGATAACTCCCCTTGATAAGAGTTGATGGCTAAAATGATTGCACAGAAACAACAGCAGTCCTGATAAAGGAATAGAACCAGTGACTTCCCACTGCAATGCAACAGTGCCAGCCACTGGGCCGCCCTGCCGCTCTGTGAAGGGAAATGTGGAGAGGTAGGGGTGGAAGGGAGGATTCTTTTAATCGAAGATGACTGTAGTGAAAAAACCTGGCTCTTTATAGTGGGTTAGGAATCGTCTGATTGGTGGATCATACATAGCTAATGCAAGACCAGCCGTGTTCAATCATAAGCACGTGATCCTCTCAAAATTAGTTTATAAATAAACTTCACATGTATTGCTTTCTATCTTCGAGTAACATTTTTAAAAATGTTCATGCACAACATTAAAATGAAACATTTCATTTCAGCTGACTTTTTTGTAGCTCAACAATGGTTATGTTAAATTAGAAATGACAATCTCTATTGAAGGCATTCTAATTCAGATTGGATGGCGGGCCAAATCAAAGGTTACCATGGGCCAACTTTGGCACGTAGGCCCTATTTTGGCTATCGCTGCTTTATACACTTTATAAGCTGTTATATTGTACTTGCGCAATTAAAACAAACATAGATATTGTTATACGTATATCTATGTGGTTGATGATTTACATTCAGTAGCCTACACTTATATTATTATTGTTATAACTATTGTTTAGGTGGTATTTCTAGGAAATTCAACAAAGAATGCCAAAGTAATCTGATTTCTACTGAAGCTTATTAGCATTAGTATATTCCTTCAAACTGATTGTGTTGTTCATTAATTTAAAGATTGCAGCTATATGCTTTCTGTTTATATTGCATTATGTATAAACTGTGGTCTGATATGTTAGGACACACCTGCATTGTTTTTTGTAAAATCCGTCCAAGGCTTTTTCAACCATCATCACTTTACATAGAGATGTGACAATGAATCGTTCTGATACGATTTATAAACTGAACCACATTATCCACACTCATCAGTGCGTACACGTGTAAAACACTGCAATAACATAATCGGAGGAAAAGAGGTTGTTGAGTATTTATTTGATATAATTCCTGTCTAGATGATTGATGCTTAGCCTGGCTTCTTGGGTAGGTTTTGTCAAAGCACGGTCTGGCTGACCTCAGAGGAATGAGCTCTCTCATTGCTTCGATGAACAGACAGTGCATTCACTGAGACTTGGGAGAAGATTTCTCTCCACTAATACCATCTCGTAGTTTGCTCGATGAGCCAATAGGAGTGCTTACATAGTATAGTCTCTCTCTCACGCTCAGAGAAGTGGTTGGAAGGGGACACGGCAGTCAATGTGGAGGGACATGTTAATAGATGGCCGGTATTACTGCTTCTGGAAGCTTTTTGAAACCACCCAACAACCTCCTGCTGTGTGTGGTCAGTGTTCACTGGGCAAAGAAGCTCGACTGGCACAGACGCTTCTCTGATGTTTTTTTTCTCTCTCCCTCTCTGTTTTCATCAAAGAACAATGCTCACTGATGGTGCCGGCAATGGGTCAGCCAGCAGGACAAGGCTTTGTCTAGTGGTTAGTGGTGTTGTTGAAAGATCAATGCTATAATAAGCAATGGCATACTGAGTGTTGATCTGACGCTTGCAGACTGAGGAAAAGAAATTAAGGTGGATTTTGCCACAAGGCATTAAATTAAAGGGATAGTTCAACTAAAAATTACAAATCTGTCATCATTTACTCACCATTTACTTGTTTCAAACCTTTATGAGTTTCTCTCCTCTGTTAAACACAAAAGAGCATTGACATCCATATTTGTTTCAATGGTTGCAGTTTTCACCTGTGTTCACCTGAAGAAAGAAACTTATAACTGTTTATACCTAATTGAGGGTGAGTAAATATTGCGTACATTTTTATTTATGAGTAAACTATCCCTTTTAATGACCTTTTTAATTCAACTGAAATGATTATATTCAGTTATAAAATAAGGCTACATAAGCTTACAGTGTTGTAACATGCAGGCAAACTCCAGTAAACCTTTTGTAAAAAAAAAAAAAAATCTATATTTGCTGAGCAACAGCACACAATGCATCTAATTAGTATGTACAGGGTGAAAAGAACATTGCAAAACTCTTTACAGATTTACTCCTCAGGAAAGCCAAATGAATGGTGAGTGCCTTAAAGGACCTCTCAGCTAAGCTAAGACTCTGGTGACATTTCAGTATCACGGTGTTCCTGTGGCTTAACTGGAACAGCGGGGTGCTAGAAGTGTCAGTGTCGTGGGTTCACATCTCACCGTTGGGAAAAAGCAGTGTGCTTGAATATGTACTGCAGATCCTAAAAGTATATTGTGTAACTTCAAAGTGAAAACTGCATTTCGTTTAGATTTAAACTGCAGTACATTAACTTTTTTTTCTGCTTTAGACTTAAAGATGCAAAAACACAAACAGGAATTTCATTTTGAGTCCACATAATAGCAATGTCCTTTAAATGTCAATGCTCTTTAAAGTTCCCGTGAAATTAAAATAAAGTTTTTTAGATGTTAGTATCAGTATTATTTGTTTGTAGGATATCTATAAGCTTATGTGCCCCAAAACAGAGACAAAATTTGGATTTAGAAGACATAAAACTGGTATAAGTAAAGTTTTACAAACTAATTTCGAGAGGAGCATGTGATATAATTGATCGCGGCTGGTTTCTAATCTATAATCAGCAATAATCCAATCAGATTAGTTCAAGCTTACATTAAATAGACCAATTTCACTCTACTACCTCATCTTCATCTTGGAACAATCCCTCCTTCCACCCCATCTCCTCCTTTTTTCTCCCATTACCAGGGGGAGCTCTCGAGACCTGATCTCTGACCCCCTTATATGTTTATTGACCAGACATGAGCCCTGAGGTCAATTATCTCCGAGCTCAGGGTTCTCTCCCGGGGCAGCATGCACAACTGCTAAGCTTGAACTATTGAAACATGAAAAGCCTGTAGTTTGTCACTTCCACCCAAACGAATCAACTGTGAAAATCTGGAATTTGCAAAAAATCTAAATGCTAAGAAAAATCAGTTTTAAAGTCTCCAAGAAATCAAAACAAACTATATGATTTTATAAGAGCACATTGCTAGTTTTGTGGCGAACAATTCATCTGTTCATTTCGTTAAAAGAGTTTGCCCTTTTAATCTTTAATTGAAATCTAAAAATGCACTTCCTGTTTGTTTTCAGTTAAATATTAAGTATATCTTAGTTGATGGGCATGGCTAACATTTAATCACGCTGCTCCAGCTGTCAGTTTTGACAAGAAACAGAAATGGTGAGGAGGAGGTGTCTGTACCCCCCAATAATACCCCCCAAACACTTTTCCCAATCCTTCTGAATGAAATGCCTACTTTACTAAATCGATTCAGCTCGCAGTAGAAAAACAAGCCATGCACATTGTTTTATCATTTGATGATGCATTTCTCTATGAACT